TTTTCAAGAAAAGAAAAAGACGTGCATAATCTCCATACTGCCATCTATCCATATATCAAGTTTCATTAAAATATTTTCAGTACTTTTTGCATTATCGAGGGATCCAGTTTTGTGGACGGACGGACTGACGGACGGACAGACAGACAGACGGACAGACGGATGGAGGGTAAACCTAAAGTCCCCTCCGGTAAACCGGTAGGGGACTAATTACTAAGGGATCAGTTATTACCAAAATAAGGCATACCTTAGAACCTTATAATAAGGAAAGACCTTTACTGTACATGCAATCAACAACAGACCTTAATTTATTATTGAACAAGAGCCACCGCCGGGCGGGGGCAACGCTCGACTTTTTACTTTTTCTAAACGCAAACATAGAAAGGTTTGAACATATATTGATGTTTCCTTTTTATAAATTTAGTTGGTCTTTCTTGTCACATTAGTTTTGTTTATATATTTTGTTTATATATGAATAGAAACATTAAGCATATTTCTAAAAATAGCAACAGTACGCAATTTCTAAAAATAGCAACAATGACGCAATTTCTAAAAATAGCAACAATGACGCAATTTCTAAAAATAGAAATAATGACGCAATTTCTAAAAATAGAAAAAATGACGCAATTTCTAAAAATAGAAAAAAATGATGCAATTTCTAAAAATAGAAACAATGACGTAATTTCTAATAATATAGAAAAAAAATGACGCAATTTCTAAAAATAGAAACAATGACGCAATTTCTAAAAATAGAAAAAAATGACGCAATTACTAAAAAATAGCAACAATGACGCAATTTCTAAAAATAGAAACAATGACGCAATTTCTAAAAATAGAACAAAAATGACGCAATTTCTAAAAATAGAAAAAAATGACGCAATTTCTAAAAATAGCAACAATGACGCAATTTCTAAAAATAGAAAAAAAATGACGCAAATTCTAAAAATAGCAACAATGACGCAATTTCTAAAAATAGAAAAAAATGACGCAAATTCTAAAAATAGCAACAATGACGCAATTTCTAAAAATAGAAAAAAATGACGCAATTTCTAAAAATAGAAAAACATGACGCAATTTCTAAAAATAGAAACAATGACGCAATTTCTAAAAATAGAAAAAAATGACGCAATTTCTAAAAATAGCAACAATGACGCAATTTCTAAAAATAGAAAAAAATGACGCAAATTCTAAAAATAGCAACAATGACGCAATTTCTAAAAATAGAAAAAATGACGCAATTTCTAAAAATAGAAAAACATGACGCAATTTCTAAAAATAGAAAAAATGACGCAATTTCTAAAAATAGAACAAAAATGACGCAATTTCTAAAAATAGAAAAAAATGACGCAAATTCTAAAAATAGCAACAATGACGCAATTTCTAAAAATAGAAAAAATGACGCAATTTCTAAAAATAGAAAAACATGACGCAATTTCTAAAAATAGAAAAACATGACGCAATTTCTAAAAATAGAAAAAAAATGAAGCAATTTCTAAAAATAGAAAAAATGACGCAATTTCTAAAAATAGAAAAAATGACGCAATTTCTAAAAATAGAACAAAAATGACGCAATTTCTAAAAATAGAAAAAAATGAAGCAATTTCTAAAAATAGCAACAATGACGCAATTTCTAAAAATAGAAAAAATGACGCAATTTCTAAAAATAGAAACAATGACGCAATTTCTAAAAATAGAACAAAAATGACGCAATTTCTAAAAATAGAAAAAAATGAAGCAATTTCTAAAAATAGCAACAATGACGCAATTTCTAAAAATAGAAAAAATGACGCAATTTCTAAAAATAGAAAAACATGACGCAATTATATACATGTATATATATATATACCTGCATATATGTATATATATACACACACACATTTATATATATATATATATATAATACATATACTATACATACACACACACCAATAAATGCACAATCTGAGAAAATTCAGTAATATAACCTTCAAGGTCAAGGTCATTAAAGAGCCCAAGCAAATTTGGGTTTGATAAACAACAAGGTCTGGTCCTTAAGAATGTTCTGTTATAATATGAAGTTTATCCTTCAAAAATAGCAAAGTTACAGTCAGTTACTGCCAAAACAATGAAAATTTCAATAATTTGACCTTCAAAGGCAATGTCATTAATGAGTGAAGGTCAAGGTCTTTCGTATATTTTTAACAGTTATCTTTGAAGATTATTATGTTCAAGTTTGAAGACAATCCATCCAAAAAATAACAAAGTTACAGCCAATAATAGCCAAAAAAAATGAAAATTTCAATAATTTGACCTTCAAAGTCAAGGTCATTGATGAGTGAATGTCAAGGTCTGACTGGTTATTTTTAAGGGATATCCTTGAAGATTATTATGTTCAAGTTTGAAGACAATCCATTCAAAAATAACAAAGTAACAGCCAATAACAGCATGAACAAGCAAAAATTGGACTTTCAACCTTGAAGGTCAAGGTCATTTATGGATGAAGGTCAAGGTTAGTGTGGTCTACTGAAAGGTCTTGTCCCAAGGGTTGTTGTGGCCAAGTATGAAGACAATACACCAAGAAATAAAAAAGTTATGATCCAGGTACAAGTTTTCGGACGGCAACGGCAACGGCAACGGAGACGGCAACGGCAACGGCAACGGCAACGGCAACGCCGACCTGACTATAACAATACCTCTACTTTTTTTTTCAAAAAAAAAAAAGTCGAGCTAAAAAATGACAAACCTCTATGATTTTTTTTCTTCTCTGCAGCAGAAACCTCTTCCTTACAGATAATTGCAAAGAATCTATAAATAGGATCATCATCATGAAGACTTCATGGCTGTAACTTTATCACTTTTTGCTGTTATAACAAACTGCGGGTCTGAGCTGTCTTGTCCTGTTTACATGTATATAACTTGTCTGAACCTACTGTACCTTCACTGTTATCAAACAGTAACATGACAGAAGTCATCTAAAAAAAAAAGCAAATCAAAATTTAATGTCTTATATTAAAGATCATGCACAAGTAATCAGTATTAAACAAGCAAGTTATATCATTTAACCACAATTTTTTCTGCAAATTTGATATGAGCCGCGTCATGACAAAACCAACATAATAGGTTTGCGACCAGCATGGATCCAGACCAGCCTGCGCATCCGCGCAGTCTGATCAGGATCCATGCTGTTCGCTTACCAACTCTATTACAATTAGAGAAACTGATAGCGAACATCATGGGTCCTTATCAGACTGCGCGGATGCGCAGGCTGGTCTGGATCCGTGCTGGTCGCAAACGCACTATGTTGGTTTTGTCGTGACGCGGCTCATATGTGTGTTACACCATGCATTATTTAAGAAATAATATATCCCAAAATGTGATTTTATTGATCAATAACATCACTGCAAATAATTATATCATTTCTAACTTGATATCATTTCTATCCTCATGTTAGAATGGTAAAAGGTATCAATTTTCATTTTCACCTGTTTGTGTTCCTTCCCTGTATACTATATGCATATGCGTTAAGAAAATGCAAGCTTCTGACTCATCTAGAAATCTAGATTTCCCTGAAGTATTTTACACAATTAACAACACTTACTGCATAATGAAATGCAAGTCTACATTTTCAAAATGTGTTATTCTAAAAGTATTTGCGGAAATGGTAAATCATAGTAGTTTGGATTAGCCTAGAGACCAACCTTTCATCTCACTTTGAATTAAAATATATCTTGATTTGACTGCTTTGTGGTAAAACATTTCAAAGTACATTGTATGTCAATCAGATGTTTGTTATAATTCACACAGGCAAATGACCTTTGTGGTTATATTACAAAGCATCTGATCTCCATACATTGCTATATTATACCACAATGCGCTCAAAATAATAATTATTTTCAAAATAACACATGATTTTACTGTTGAAATGCTTTGTAATTATTCATTCAGGCCTAATTGCCTTGTAATTGAATCAAAGCACATCTGAACTTTAAAATAATGCATAGTTCTGGATCAATGCACTTAAAATTATTATCCTAAACATAAATGCTGCAGGAACGATACAAAGCCCACCAAAGACTCACTAAATAATGCTTTCTTTATCCTTGCATGATATTAATTCTATACTGAAGTGAAAATTACATACATGTAAAGTACATTACTACATTACTATTTCATAATTCTAGAAGAATTTTACTCAATTATGTTTTTATGTTGTTTTTTGTTTTGTTTTGTTATGCCCTAAGAATAAGTCAAACTTAATTTATGAGTGAAGCTGCGTTCATCTTATTTGAAGATAATTTACCTTTTATGTAGCTGGGTTGTAGAAGAAATTTGACCACTTCGGATCAGTTAGCATAAGTATAAACTCAAACAATCTTTTAAGGCAAAGTCCCTTAAAACTTGGAAACTTTGTTCCCATAAAATACATGAGGTCTACTGATAATCATGATCCTTTTATTTACTATACTAGTATTGTATGTGTTAAACTGCAGATGGCAGCCAGTTTGAAGAACCACTTTATTCAGCAAAATATGTACATGTATTTCATGAAAACTACAACATTATGATACATGTTATCCAGCAATATTTAATTTGCCGAATAGACAATAATTCTTGAACCTGTATGCTTGCATGTATAATTATCAAGCGTTCTGTTTTCATACCTATATGAAACCAAATATAATGTATTTCTTAACAAATGGAACAAACAAAACAAGAGGGCCATGATGGCCCTGAGGTCGCTCACCTGTATATAGCCCCCCCCCCCCCCGGGCCAATTTTTACCCAAGGGCTTTTATTTGAACAGACTTGGTAGACACCCATAAGAAGATGTTTCATGCTAAACATCTAAGTTCTAGCTCATTGGGTTTTTTAAAAGAAGATTTACAAACTTTCACTATAATGTATATCTATATACACATATAGTTAAAAACAATGACACCCCTGGGGCAGGGCCAGTTTTGACCCCCGGGCTTTTATTTGAACAAACTTTGTAGATATTTACTTAAAGATGTTTCATGTATAATATCTAAACTCAAGATATTTGGGTTTTTTCAAAGAAGATTTTTAAGTTTTTGCTATACACTTATAAGGAAAATCAATGACCCCCGGGGCGGGCCAGTTTTGACCCCAGGGCTTTCATTTGAACATACTTGGTAGACACCCATTAGAACATATTTCATGCTAAATATCTTAGCTCTAGCTCTTTGAGTTCTTTAAAAGAAGATTTTTTAAGTTTTTACTATATGCATATAGGGAAAATCAATGACCCCCTGGGGCTGGGCCAATTTTGACCCCAGGGCTTTTATTTGAACAAACTTGGTAGACACTCATTAGAAGATGTTTCATGCTAAATATCTTAGCTCTAGCTCTTTGGGTTCTTTAAAAGAAGATTTTTTAAGTTTTTACTATGTGCATATTGGGAAAATCTATGACCCCCTGGGACGGGGCCAATTTTGACCCCAGGGCTTTTATTTGAACAAACTTGGTAGACATTCACTAGAAGATGTTTCACGCCAAATATCTTAGCTCTAGCTCTTACGGTTCTTTAAAAGAAGATTTTTTAAGTTTTTACTATATGCATATAGGGAAAATCAATGACCCCCGGGGCGGGGCCAATTTTGACCCCAGGGCTTTTATTTGAACAAACTTGGTAGACACTCACTAGAAGATATTTCATGTCAAATATCTTAGCTCTAGCTCTTTGGGTTCTTTAAAAGAAGATTTTTTAAGTTTTTACTATATGCATATAGGGAAAATCTATGACCCCCTGGGGCAGGGCCAATTTTGACCTCAGGGCTTTTATTTGAACAAACTTGGTAGACACTCATAAGAAGATGTTTCATGCTAAATATCTTAGCTCTAGCTCTTTGGGTTCTTTAAAAGAAGATTTTTTAAGTTTTTACTATATGCATATAGGGAAAATCAATGACCCCCTGGGGCGGGGCCAATTTTGACCCCAGGGCTTTTATTTGAACAAACTTGGTAGACACCTATTAGAACATGTTTGATGCTCAATATCTTATCCATAGCTCTTTGAGTTCTTTAAAAGAAGATTTTAAGTTTTTACTATATATGAATATAGGGAAAATCAATGACCCCCTGGGGCGGAGCCAATTTTGACCCCAGGGCTTTTATTTGAACATACTTGGTAGACACCCATTTAAACATGTTTCATGCTAAATATCTTAGCTTTAGCTCTTTGGGTTCTTTAAAAGAAGATTTTTTAAGTTTTTACTATATGCATATAGGGAAAATCAATGACCCCCCGGGGCGGGGCCAATTTTGACCCCTGGGCTTTTATTTGAACAAACTTGGTAGACACTCACTAGAAGATGTTTCATGCCAAATATCTAAGCTCTAGGTCTTATGGTTATTTAAAAGAAGATATTTAAAGTTCTTTTCTTTAGGTTGCCATGGCAACCAGTGTTCTTCTTTGAGTGACCCCCAAAGTCTGCACATCCATACACTTACAAACTCAATTACATGATTTCAGTCCGCCATATTCCCTACCCACGAATGACAACTCATTTTTCCCTCTCTAAAATTCCACCAAATTATTCTTTTTTTAAATGACCTCAAAAAGGAACCTTTTCTAAAGACTTTGTATTTATTAATTCAATTTTTTTGTCAAGAAACTGATTTTTTTCATTACGCTTTATTGTAATGGAAAACAACTATAACAAGATATGTTTATAAAACATGTATGCCCTCTATCAGCATCCAATTATTCATGTGATAAGGTAACTATGCATGACTTCTGACCCAGTGATCAAACAATTAATAAGGGTTATCAAGTATCTACTGGTCATGACCTTGACCTTTGACCCCTTGACCCAAAACTCAATAGGGGTCATCTGCTGGTCAAGAACAATCATCATACAAAGTTTGAAGTTCCAAGGCCTAAGCGTTTTTAGTTAATTGATCAGAAACCGTTTTTACTTACAAGGTCAATGTGACCTTGACCTTTAACCCCTTGACCCGGAAATCAATAGGGGTCATTTGCTGGTCATGACTAATCACCATGCCAAGTTTGAAGTTACTAGGCCTAAGGGTTCTTAAGTTATTGATCGGAAAGCATTTTTACCTACAAGGTCAATGTGACCTTGCCCTTTGACCCCTTAACCTCAAAATCAAAAAGGGTCATCTACTGGTCATGACCAATCACCATACCAAGTTTGAAGTTCCTAGGCCTAAGGGTTCTTTAGTTATTGATCGGAAACTGTTTTACCTAAAAGTTCAATGTGACCTTGACCTTTGACCCCTTGACCCCAAAATCAATAGGGGTCATCTACTGATCATGACCAATCACCATACCAAGTTTGAAGTTCCTAGGCCTAAGGGTTCTTTAGTTATTGATCGGAAACTGTTTTTACCTAAGAGGTCAATTTGACCTTAACCTTTGACCCCTTGACCCCAAAATCAATAGGGGTCATCTACTGATCATGACCAATCACCATATCAAGTTTAAAGTCCCTAGGCCTAAGGGTTCTTTCGTTATTGATCAGAAACTGTTTTTACCTACAAGGTCAATGTGACCTTGACCTTTGACCACTTAACCCCAAAATTAATAGGGGTCATCTGCTGGTCATAACCAATCACCATACCAAGTTTGAAGTTCCTAGGCCTAAGGGTTCTTTTGTTATTGATCGGAAACCGTTTTTACCCAAGAGGTCAATGTGACCTTGACCTTTGACCCCTTGATCCCAATATCAATAGGGGTCATCTACTGATTATGACCAATCACCATACCAAGTTTGAAGTTCCTAGGCCTTAAGGTTCTTTACTTATTGATCGGAAACCGTTTTAGCTTACAAAGTCAATGTGACCTTGACCTTTGACCCCTTGACCCCAAAATCAATAAGGGTCATCTACTGGATATGACAAATCACCATACCAAGTTTGAAGTTCCTAGGCCTTAAGGTTCTTTAGTTATTGATCGGAAACCGTTTTTGCTTACAAGGTCAATGTGACCTTGACCCCTTGACCCCAAAATCAATATGGGTCATCTTCTTGTCATGACCAATCACCATACCAAGTTTGAAGTTCCTAGGCCTAAGGGTTCTTTAAGTATCACTCGGAAACCATTTGGTCTACGGACAGACGGACCGACAAGCGCAAAGCAATATACCCTCTTTTCTTTGAAAGGGGGCATAATTATGTAGTTTATGTGTGTTGTTTTGATTTGTTTGACTGATATAATTTAGTTTAGTTTAACAGCAGCCAGAGACATGACAATACGTAGCAACCACGTTGAAAACGTGAATGGTAACTGAAAGAGATAATGGCAAAACTCTATCGAAATACTGCATATACATTATAGTGAAAATTTGTAAGTGACATACAGTCTGACCACTATCATAAATGTTGGTAGTTAAATTTGATATTGACACTAGGACAAATCCAACATACAAAAATTCTTCAGGTTAAGGTACTAAGATAGATAAAAAAAAATATTGTTCATACCTTCTTCTGGTAATGGGTAATCAAACAGTCCTCCATGGAGCATTCTACAGTAACATCTGGGCTGTTTGAAAGTCAAGAATTGTCTGTGAAAGAAAAATATTAAAGCGTTATTAAAAATAAATGCTAGTTATTAAATAATCTAAATCTGTGCATAAATCTCTTATTATTTGTCTCAACATTAAGCAATTGTTTATACCATTTAAATTCCATTTGAAACTTAAGTGATACCAAAACTTTTGATTCCAATAATTATGTAAATATCTTAGGATAATTCTTAAAATTGGGTAAAAGGTCATCCACCACGAATCAACAGAGTGAAACATTAAACAAGAGGGCCATGATGGCCCTAAATCGCTCACCTGACCCATCAAGCTTATCCAACAATTACCTAGACAAGCATTCTGACCAAGTCTCATGACAGGTGAGTCAAAAATGTGACCACTACAGTGTTAACAAGGATTATCCATATTTGAGCAGTGTGACCTAGCTTTTTACCCAGGTGACCCATATTCAAACTTGACCTAGAAATCATCAAAACAAACTTTCAGACCAATTTCCAGGATACTTGGATCAAAACAGTAGCAAATAGAGTGTTTACAAGATTTTTCTGTTTTTAGCTCCGGTGACCTAGTTTCACATGCGATTTCGAACTCATCCGAGCAATTACCTAGACAAGCATCCTGACCAAGTTTGATGATAACTGAGTCGAAAATGTGACCACTAGAATTTTAACAAGGTTTTTCCATATTTGGGTGGTGTGACCTAGTTTTTCATCCAAGATGACCCATGTTCGAACTTGACTTAGAAATCATCAAAACAAACTTTCAGACCAATTTACAGGATATTTGGATAAAAACAGTAGCCACTAGAGTGTTAACAAGATTTTTCTATTTTTAGCTCCTGTGACCTAGTTTTTCATCCAAGATGACCAATGTTCGAACTCATCCAAGCTATCAACTAGACAAACATCCTGACCAAATTTGATGATGATTGAGGCAAAATTGTGACCGCTAGAGTGTTAACAAGGTTTTACTATTTTTAGCTCAGGTGACCTAGTTTTCCATCCAAGATGACCCATGTTCGAACTCATCCGAGCTATCAACTAGATAAACATACTGACCAAGTTTGATGATGATTGAGGCAAAAATGTGACCGCTGGAGTGTTAACAAGGTTTTTCTTTTTTTAGCTCCGGTGACCTAGTTTTTCATCCAGGACTATACCCATGTTCGAACTCATCCAAGCTATCACCTAGACAAGCATCTTGACCAAGTTTGATGATGATTGATGCAAAAATGTGACCGCTAGAGTGTTAACAAGGTTTTTCTATTTTTAGCTCCAGTGACCTACTTTTTCATCCGAGATGACCCATGTTCAAACTCATGCAAGCTATCACCTAGACAAGCTTCCTGACAAAGTTTGATGATGATTGATGCCAAAATGTGACCGCTAGAGTGTTGACAAGGTTTTTTTATTTTTAGCTCCAGGGCCTACTTTTTCATCCGAGATGACCCATGTTCAAACTCATCCAAGCTATCACCTAGACAAACATCCTGACCAAGCTTGATGATGATTGAGGCAAAATTGTGACCTCTAGAGTGTTAATAAGGTTTTTCTATTTTTAGCTCCAGTGACCTACTTTTTCATCCGAGATGACCCATGTTCGAACTCATCCTAGCTATCAACTAGACAAGCATCCTGACCAAGTTTGATGATGATTGAGGCAAAAATGTGACCGCTGGAGTGTTAACAAGGTTTTTCTATTTTTAGCTCCAGTGACCTAGTTTTTCATCCGAGATGACCGATGTTGGATCTTATCCGAGCTATCACCTAGACAAGCATCCTGACCAAGTTTGATGATGATTGATGCAAAATTGTGACCGCTAGAGTGTTAACAAGGCTTTTCTATTTTTAGCTCTTGTGACCAAGTTTTTCATCCAAGATGACCCATGTTCGAACTCATCCGAGCTATCAACTAGATAAGCATCCTGACCAAGTTTGATGATGATTGAGGCAAAAATGCGACCCCTAGAGTGTTAACAACAAAATGTGAACGGACGACGGACGACAGACAATCATCGATCCTAAAAGCTCACCCTGAGCATGCTCAGGTGAGCTAAAAAAAAGATGAAACAAAAAGGAATTATGGTGGTTTCATTGAAATACCGGTTCAGCGAACTTGATTTATGAAGAGGTGCGAAAGTGGTTTCGTCGACCTTATGTTATATAGTAATTAAAGGCAATGTAGACATGGTTCATAATATAATGTGTTTTTGGTAGAAACCAATTAGAAGATGTTTCATGCTAAATATCTTAGCTCTAGCTCTTTGGGTTCTTTAAAAGAAGATTTTTAAGTTTTTGCTATACACATATAAGGAAACATCAATGACCCCCTGGGGCGGGGCCAATTTTGACCCCAGGGCTCTTATTTGAACAAACTTGGAAAAAATCGACTACATCATGTTTCATGCTAAATATATTAGCTCTAGCTCTTTGGGTTCTTTAAAAGAAGATTTTAAAGTTTTTACTATATGCATATAGGGAAAATCAATGACCCCCTGGGGGCAGGGCCAATTTTGACCCCAAGGCTCTTATTTGAACAAACCTGGTAGACACCAATTAGAGGATGTTTCATGCTAAATATCTTAGCTAAAGGTCTTGGGTTCTTTTAAAGAAGATTTTTTAAGGTTTTACTACATGCATATAGGGAAAATTAATGACCCCCTGGGGCGGGGCCAATTTTGACCCCAGGGCTTTTATTTGAAGACACTTGGTAGACACTCACTAGAAGATGTTTCATGCCAAATATCTAAGCTCTAGCTCTTTGGATTTTCTAGAAGAAGATATATAAAGTTTTTTCCTTTGGTTGTCATGGCAACCAGAGTTCTGCATGGAATTATATTCTTTGAACAATTTTCAAAGGTGACCACCAAAGGTACATTCATGTGAAGTTTTGATGAAATTGGCTTAGTGGTTTATGAGGAAATGTCATTTAAAGTAAAAGTTTACGGACGACTGACGGCCGGACGCCGGACGAAAAGCGATCACAATATTCACCCTGTCACTTTGTGACAGGTGAGCTAAAAATAAGGCAAGGCATTTATGGTTCTTGTGCACTGCACGCCTACTTAATGAGATCTTTCTACCTACAAAGTTTCATGTTGATACGTTCGATAGTTTTAGAGTTATGTCCCAGACAAAGTTCAAAGTGTAAAATTAAACAAAGGGGAATACTTCAAAAATTAGGCACCGCAGAGCTACGGTTCTTGTGCACTGCACACCTACTCAATGAGATCTATCAGCCTACAAAGTTTCATGTTGATACCTCTTTTTCTTTTTGAGTTATGTCACGGACAATGCTCAAAGTGTAAAAATTAACAAAGGGTAATACTGCATGGAATTAAATTCTTTGAACAATTTTCAAAGGTGACCTCCAAAGGAACATTCATGTGAAGTTTGGATGAAATTGGCTTAGTGGTTTATGAGGAAATGTCATTTAAAGTAAAAGTTTACAGACGACTGACGGACGGACGCCGGACGAAAAGCGATCACAACAGCTCATTCTGTCACTTTGTGACAGGTGAGCTAAAAATAAGGCAAGGCATTTATGGTTCTTGTGCATTGCACGCCTACTTAATGAGATCTTTCTGCCTACAAAGTTTCATGTTGATACGTCCGATATGTCCCAGACAAAGTTCAAAGTGTAAAAATAAACAAAGGGGAATACTTCAAAAATTAGGCAAGGCAGAGCTACGGTTCTTGTGCACTGCACACCTACTCAATGAGATCTATCAGCCTACAAAGCCTACATGTTGATACCTCTTTTCCTTTTTGAGTTATGTCCCGGACAATGCTCAAAGTGTAAAAATTAACAAAGGGTAATAATTCAACAAGAAACATGGCAATGCCATGCAACCAGGTTTTCAATTATCACCATTGTAGATAAATATGTTGTATTTGAAATACAAATACAAGCAACAAACAATGAAACTAAGTATGTGCAATGTAAAACATGAATAATGTAGGAGGAATTGCCACTGAAGAAGTGTTCACTATATATTCTGTATAAGGAAAAAAAACAAAGGGCCATAATTAGGTCAAAAATTATCCAATCACAAAACCCCGACAATATGTGCCAGGGCACTTAATGACAAAGTTTCTGTGAAAGTTTGAACAAAATCCGTTGAGAAATGTAGGACGAGTTCAGCACAGAAGAATTTGTTCACTATATATTGATAATTCTGTATAAGGAAAAAAACCAAAAGGTCAGAATTAGGTCAAATATTATCCTATTACAAAACCCCGACAATATGCGCCAGGGCACTTGATAACTAAGCTTCTGTGAAAGTTTGGTCAAAATCCGTTGAGAAATGTAGGAGAAGTTGCGCATGATAGAAATTGTTCACTATTATAATATTCTGTATAAGGAAGAAAAAAAACAAAGGGCCATAATTAGGTCAAATATTATCCAATCACAAAACCCTGACAATATGTGCCAGGGCACTTGATAAAGCTTCTGTGAAAGTTTGGTCAAAATCTGTTGAGAATTGTAGAGGGAGTTCAGCACAGAAGAAATTGTTCACTATATAATCTATACAAGAGCACCGCTAGGCGGAGCATTATATGCCCGAAAGTATTTTTTTTTTTAGTAAGGATGACCTTAACCGTTGACCTTTTGACCCCAAAATCAATAGGGGTCTTCTACCCAATATGGACAATCATCCTATGAAGTTTGAACATTGTGGGCCAAATGGAACTTAACACATGCTCCGGCAACTGTTTTGAGTATCAAGGTAATAGTGACCTTCACCTTTGACCTTTCGACCCCAAAATCATCAGGGGTCTTCTACCCAATATGGACAATCATCCTATGAAGTTTGAACATTGTGGGTCAAATGGAACTTAAGTTATGCGTGGAAACATATTTTTCAGTATCAATGTAATAGTGACCTTCACCTTTGACCTTGTGACCCCAAAATCAAAAGGGGTCTTCTACCCAATATGGACAATCATCCTATGAAGTTTGAACATTGTGGGTCGAATGGAACTTAAGTTATGCTCTGGAAACTGTTTTCAGTTGTTAGGTAATAGTGACCTTTACCTTTGGCCTTTTGACCCCAAAATCAATAGGGGTCTTCTACCCAATATGGACAATCATCCTATGTAGTTTGAACATTGTGGGTCGAATGGAACTTAAGTTATGCTCCAGAAACTGTTTTCAGTATCAAGGTCATAGTGACCTTGACCTTAGAGCTTGTGACCCCAAAATCAATAGGGGTCTTCTTCCCAATATGGACAATCATCCTATGAAGTTTGAACATTGTGGGTCGAATGGAACTTAAGTTATGCTCTGGAAACTGTTTTCAGTTATAAGGTAATAGTGACCTTAACCTTTGACCTTTTGACCCCAAAATCAATAGGGGTCTTCTACCCAATATGGACAATCATCCTATGAAGTTTGAACATTGTGGGCCAAATGGAACTAAAGTTATGCTCCGGAAACTGTTTTCAGTATCAAGGTCATGGTGACCTTGACCTTGTGACCCCAAAATCAATAGGGGTCTTCTACCCAATATGGACAATCATCCTATGAAGTTTTAACATTGTGGGCCAAATTGAACTTAAGTTATGCTCCGGAAACCAAATTGCTAACGGACGGACGGACGTACGGACGGACAGACAGACGGACGCCAGGGGGTATAACATAATATGCCCTTTCGGGCATATAATAAGGAAAAAATACAAAGAGCAATAATCAGGTCAAATATTATCCAATCGCAAAACCCCGACAATATGCATTAGGGCACTTGGTGACAAAGGTTCTTTGAAAGTTTGGTCAAAATCCGTTTAGAAATGTAGAAGGAGTTGCCCACAGAAGAAATTGTTCACTATACAGCCATTCTCCTATAATTGAAGCGCTTTTTTAATAATTCCTGTCTCCACTTTAAAAATCGTAGTAAAATGTACAGAGGACCTTAATCATTTGTGACAAACATTTAAACTAGACCTATCACTGAAGGTGATTAATACCCCCACCAGCAACTTTTTGAAAAATAAGTAGTCTGAAGAAAAATTTCAACACAAACTATCAACTGTGTACAAAGAAATATTTCAATTAATTGTAATCCCAACTGGGGTCTCCAAATAAGCTTGCTTTTCACAAAGTTTGATTATCTCATTCCTAACTCTAGTTATTGTCCGGAAACCATTTTTCTATTTTTAGGAATGGTGACCTTGACCTTGACCCCAAGGGGTCCAAATGCAATACCAACCCTGGGTCTTCATATAAGCTTGCTATACATCAAGTTTGATAACAATATCTCATTCCTAACTCAAGTTTTTGTCCGGAAACCATTTTTCTATTTTTAGTAACGGTGACCTTGACCCCAGGGGGTCCAAATGCAATACCAACCCAGGTCTTCATATAAGCTTGCTATACACCAAGTTTGATAACAATATCTCATTCCTAACTCTAGTTATTGTCCGGAAACCATTTTTCTATTTTTAGTAACGGTGACCTTGACCTTGACCCCAGGGGGTCCAAATACAATACCAACCCAGGTCTTCATATAAGCTTGCTATACACCAAGTTTGATTACAATATCTCATTCCTAACTCAAGTTACTGTCCGGAAACCATTTTTCTATTTTTAGTAACCATGACCTTGACCTTGACCCCAGGGGGCCTAAATGCAATACCAACCCAGGTCTTCATATAAGCTTGCTATACGCAAAGTTTGATAACAATATCTCATTCCTAACTCTAGTTATTGTCCGGAAACCATTTTTCTATTTTTAGTAACGGTGACCTTGACCTTTACCCCAGGGGGTCCAAATGCAATACCAACCGGAGTTTCCACATAAGGTTGCTATATACCAAGTTTGATTACAATACCTCATTCCAAACTCTAGTTATCGTCCGGAAACCATGATGTGGACCGACCGACCGACCGACAAGCTGACTCCTATATACCCCCCCTAAACTTCGTTTGTGGGGGTATAATAAGTACACTGGGATGTTCGTATCAGCTTAACTTAAATTTTGTAGCGTGGATGCTTCTCGTTTTTCATTTGTGCTAAACTGAAAAGCTGTAGTAACCTAAAAAAATCGCTGTCGCTTGATCAATAAAAGTTTAAGATTGGTGAAAAAAATAATCCATTTCCATGTTTTCCATCAAGATTTGCCTAAAATCAATACAATATTGATAATAGATTCAGAATTACATAAGAACTTCGAGAAAGAGACCCTTATTTTCCATGATTTTCTTTAAAAGGTGCTGTCGCCGAAATGCAACAATGGTACCGTAACGATTTTAAACTGCAATGTAACGATCTTGAGATGTGTTATATTCTTTTAAATTTGTACTCAAAACAATATCAAAAGAATATATTTGGAATAAAATTGATAAATAAGACTCCTGCGATGATACATTTTAACACAAACCGTTTTATTGTAAATAATTCAAATGTTGCGTTTAAAATGCTATGCCTCCGTAAAAGGCGTATACTTTTATATATACATTATACCAATGCTATGCCTCCGTAACGGGCGTATACTTTTATATATACATTATACCAATGCTATGCCTCCGTAACGGGCGTATACTTTTATATATACATTATACCAATGCTATGCCTCCGTAACAGGCGTATACTTTTATATATACATTATACCAATGCTATGCCTCCGTAACGGGCGTATACTTTTATATATACATTATACCAATGCTATGCCTCCGTAACAGGCGTATACTTTTATATATACATTATACCAATGCTATGCCTCCGTAACGGGCGTATACTTTTATATATACATTATACCAATGCTATGCCTCCGTAACGGGCGTATACTTTTATATATACATTATACCAATGCTATGCCTCCGTAACAGGTGTATACTTTTATATATACATTATACCAATGCTATGCCTCCGTAACGGGCGTATACTTTTATATATACATTATACCAATGCTATGCCTCCGTACCGGGCGTATACTTTTATATATACATTATACCAATGCTATGCCTCCGTAACGGGCGTATACTTTTATATATACATTATAACAATGCTATGCCTCCGTAACAGGCGTATACTTTTATATATAATTTGACAGTGTGACTTTTTTGCCTATCACTGCTCCAAATGATACGTCATTAAGAGGTATGCATGCAAAATCTTAATTGACTTTTATGATACAATTGGACAACTGGAGGTAATTGGCAATCACTGTACTTTATTTTGGCAACCACTGTTTTTGATTGGCCAGTATCATTCAAAGGTTCGACTATATCATATTAAGGATTGGACAGTATCATTTCAAGATTCGATTATATCATTTTAAGGTTTAACTTTATCATTTTAAGGTTTGAGTATATCATTCCCAGGTAAAACTATATCAGTTTAAGGATTGGACAGTATCAATTTACAGTTCAACTATATTGTTTTGAGGATTGGACAGGATCATTTTTAAGTTTGACTGTATCATTTTAAGGTTACACTATTTCACTCAACTCAATTCTCTCCATACACTCAACACAATTCAACTTTCCCCATGCACTCAACTCAACTCTCTCCTTAGCTCAACACAACTCTTCCCATACACTCAACTCAACTTACACCATACACTCAACTCAACTCATAACCATACACCATTTCTACCTGTAACCTCAATTCAACTCTGTCCTTTCACACAACTCAACTGAAATTTTCCCATACACTCAACTCAACCTTTCCCATACACTCAATTCAACTCAACTCTCTCTGTATGCTAAACTCAACTCTCCAAATACAGTCAATTCAACTCTACCTGTATGCTCAACTCAACTCTCCCAATACAGTCAACTAAACTCTCCCTGTATGCTCAACTCAACTCTCCCCGTACACTCAGCTTAAATCAAGTCAACTCTCTCTGTACGCTCACACCAACACAACTCCCTACGTGCACTCAACTCAACTCTGTATACTCAAAATCAACACAACTCTCCCTGTAATCTCAACTCAACTCACCGCACACTCAACTCAAATCTCCCCATACACTTAACTCTCCCTGTAACCTCACTTCAACTCAAATCTTCCAGTATGCTAAACAAAACTCTATTCACCCTGTACACTCAGCTCAACTCACCTAGTACGCTTAACTCAACTCTCCATGAACTCTCAACTCAACTGTCCCTGTATGTTCATCTTTCGACATAAAATGTGATTAAAATGTCTAAATAGTTATGAATAAATTGATTTTTACCTTTTATTGGTTCCATTTAAGACTGTCCATTTATCTGGTCACTCTAAAATATTTAGTGAGCTGTCCATCAAAAATTGACACAATTGACATCTGTAATGAGAAAATATAAATCACATTTTCAAAAGGTTTCTACAGAAAAAAGGAAATGAGATTTTTGAATGAGGATATATGTGCCTTTGAAATGTTTAACAACAAGAGCGATCAGAAATCACATGTGTCGCCTCATGATGGCCAATTTTATGTTCGGACAAGTTTTGTGATAGACGGACAGACAGAGGGACGGTGCACAACTAGACTTGGTACTGATCATTCCTGTGAAGTTTGAATAAAATTGCACCAGTAGTTTTTGAGGAATAGTCTGGACAAGCTTTTGTGTATCTGGCAACACACAGAAAAAAACACCTTTTTATCAAAGGGCCATTACTCAGCCAAAAATCATTCAACCGGAAAACCTGTGCAATATGGGCAAGGACTTGAGCTACAGATCAATCCTGTTAAGTTTCATTGAAATTGCATAAGTAGTATAAGAGAAGTAGTCCGGACAAACTTTAAAATTAACAAGAGGGCCATGATGGCCCTGAGGTCGCTCACCTGTATATAGGCCACCAACCCACCCCACGCCAATTTTTACCCAAGGGCTTTTATTTGTTTATTTGAACAGACTTGGTAGACACCCATAAGAAGATGTTTCATGCAAAACATCTAAGTTCTAGCTCATTGGGATTTTTTAAAAGAAGATTTTTTAAGTTTTTACTATACACATATAGTTAAAAACAATGACACCCCTCGGGCAGGGCCAGTTTTGACCCCCGGGCTTTTATTTGAACAAACTTTGTAGATATTTACTTAAAGATGTTTCATGCTTAATATCTTAACTCTAGCTATTTGGGTTTTTTCAAAGAAGATTTTTAAGTTTTTGCTATACACATACAGTACGCTCACCGCCGACTGTTCTTCGGCGACCGTTCTTCATTTATCAATAAAATCAGTCACCCGTTTCCCGCGGGGGAACGCCATGGTCAGTTGGTCAGTATAAATTAACCTCCAAAAATAATAGACGTTTTATTATTTTTTAACTTCATTTTTTTTACACAATGACTTGAAAATTGACCACAATCGTCTCCTTAAATGTTATTATACCCTAAATTATTTGAAGGGAATTTGAAACAAGAGGGACATGATGGCCCTGAGGTCGCTCACCTGTATATAGGCCCCACCAACCCCCCCCCCAAAAAACGTTGCAGGGCCAATTTAACCCAAGGGCTTTTATTTGCACAAACTTGGTAGACACCCATAAGAAGATGTTTCATGCTAAACATCTAAGCTCTAGCTCATTGGGCTTTTTAAAAGAAGATTTTTTTTTAAGTTTTTACTATACACATATAGTTAAAAACAATGACACCCCTGCGCCAGTTTTGACCCCAGGGCTTTTATTTGAACAAACTTTGTAGACACTTACTAGAAGATGTTTCATGCTTAATATCTAAACTCTAGCTATTTGGGTTTTTCCAAAGATTTTATGTTTTTGCTATACACATATAAAGAAAATCAATGACCCCCGGGGCGGGGCCAATTTTGTCCCCTTGTCTTTTACTTGAACAAACTTGGTAGACACCTATTAGAACATGTTTCATGCTAAATATCTTAGCCATAGCTCTTTGAGTTCTTTAAAAGAAGATTTTTTAAGTTTTTACTATATGCATATAGGGAAAATCAATGACCCCCCAGGGCGGGGCCAATTTTAACCCCAGGGCTTTTATTTGGACAAACTTGGTAGACACTTATTAGAACATGTTTCATGCTAAATATTTTAGCTCTAACTCTTTTGGTTCTTTAAAAGAAGATTTTTTAAGTTTTTACTATATGCACATAGGGAAAATCAATGACCACTGGGGCGGGGCCAATTTTGACCCCAGGGCTTTTATTTGAACAAACTTGGTAGACACCTATTAGAACATGTTTGATGCTCAACATCTTAGCCATAGCTCTTTGAGTTCTTTAAAAGAAGATTTTTTAAGTTTTTACTATATGCATATAGGAAAATCAATGACCCCCCCCCGGGGCGGGGCCAATTTTGACCCCAGGGCTTTTATTTGAACAAACTTGGTAGACACCCATTAGAACATGTTTCATGCTAAATATCTTAGCTCTAGCTCTTTGGGTTCTTTAAAAGAAGATTTTTTAATTTTTTACTATATGCATATAGGGAAAATCAATGACCCCCCGGGGCGGGGCCAATTTTGACCCCAGGGCTTTTATTTGAACAAACCTGGTAGACACTCACTAGAAGATGTTTCATGCCAAATATCTAAGCTCTAGCTCTTATGGTTTTTTAAAAGAAGATATTTAAAGTTTTTTCTTTCGGTTGCCATGGCAACCAGAGTTCTGCATGGAATTAAATTCTTTGAACAATTTTTAAAGGTGACCACCAAAGGAACATTCCTGTGAAGTTTGGATGAAATTGGCTTAGTGGTTTATGAGGAGATGTCATTTAAAGTAAAAGTTAAGGACGGATGGACGGACGACGGACGGACGCCGGACGGACGCCGGACGAAAAGCAATCACAAAAGCTCACCCTGTCACTTTGTGACAGGTGAGCTAAAAATGAAAATAAACTTCAACAGTTGATACAAACTTCAAAACATATACATTACGCTCACACCTGTAATTAGATAAATCAAGAATATCATTTAATGTATATTTTGGTGAAATAAACGCTTTCTTTTAATATTCCAAATAATATATAAGACTTTATGATCAACATGCAATTAAACAGAAACGGTAAAATGCATCTGACAATTGAAAGAGACGTCCTGGAATATTGCCTGAATAAAATTGTTGAGGGTTACGTTTTCAAAGTTTTTAAATAAGAAACAAAAGCTGGCATATAAATTGTTGTAGTATCTTTTTCATACATGTCATATGCCGAATTTTTCATTATTCGACTACCATGAAGTTGCGACGACAATGATTTATCTTGATGTCGAATACATATTATACATTACCCAACGCAATAACAAGAAGAAGAACAAGAAAACACTGCATTTGTACATGTACTTTTATTACAACAAAAAAGAAAGAAAACAAACAAATTTTACATATAGTTACATGTATATGACAGTACATGTTACAGTACATGTACGTACATATACTGATGTTTCAATACAGTAATTAATTTTTAAAATTTAAGGTTTCCACTGCGTTGACCGGTGTTTGACCGCGGTGTTCCTCCGCAATTTACCACTGCGTTCTGTGGGGGAAACGGTTTCAGCCCCCGATTTATATCCGCGGTGGTGAAAATTTTCTGACAATATCTGAGCAAATTTTCGTCCCGGTAAACCTCATCCGCGGGGTCACGCGGGTTTTAAAAAAGCCGCGCTGAGCGTATTGTATAAGGAAAATCAATGACCCCCAGGGAGGTATTAGAAAGCCAAGAAATTGTCCATACTTTTATATGACGTAATAATTTCATATCATGAATCATATGAAATTATTATAGGAATTGTTTTATAAGTAAAATTTTTTTTATATACATGTATATATTATGAATTGCTTTAAAATCTGTTTTTCAATATATTGTAATAATATAATTATGATAATTGAATATTGAATATTTCTTGTATGTATGATTATGTTTAATTTGTCATTTTATGAAATATTTTATTACAGTTTTGAAGAATTACTTGACTGTACATTTCAAACTTTGATAATTTGTATTATTGTTCTTTATTTCTATTTCTTAAGATCTTGTAAATTTTTACATAACTCTTTTTTGACACTAAAGTAGAGACAAGCTGTTAGGCTTTTAGCAAGTTTTTTTGAAACCATAAAACATCTTGATTAACACAATAAAATGTAAATACTTTAGTTTGTATTAAATCTTTGTCCAAATGCCTGTGTGATTGAGCAACAGGAACAAGGGTGCTAAAGTGACAGACTAAGTAAATTACCTTCTGGACAAAGTGATAATCTATCATGTAAGAATTTCCTTTTTCTTTGTTTGACTGATTAAGCCATATTGTTTGCAAAGGTAAAAACATATGGTGCTAAAAGCCTTGTAGGGCTCAATCATAATCTACCTGTATAAAAGTCAAGACGAAAATTAGCAAGTCACACATCGATACACTTCCGTTTCCGGTTTCCGGAATAAACAAAGTTTTTTGTTATCAACACAAATAAACGTTATAAATAAAGGTGTTTAACCGCAGCTACTATAACTACAACAACGTAAATCATTTGTACATTGACGTCACTATTGGGCACAACCAGAATCCATCCTCTAGACCTTCTAGAAGCTAATCAACTTCTACACTATCTCGCCTTCTAGAAGAATACCCCACCCACCACTGTTATTATTAGCGTGTACCCTTTCCGTCCTCCGTATCTTTCGAACCATTTTATTAAATTTTAGCATTTTACATATATATATTAATATTCTATTTGTCTGTTTGCCACGTCTCAAAATTATTATAGTGTTATTTATATTATTGATCATATTGGATCACAGGGTGTGTTTGGTTTGTTCGCCTGTTTACGTGTGTCAATCTTAATAAGAACAGCATAAATACAGTATAAATACAGTAAATACAGTATTTTATATTTAATTTTATAAATTTTAATCACAGTATATACAAATTGGCGGCTGGTCCGCAGCTATGTTGAACAAGATGGCCCGTAAAGGGCCATCTCGTCACCATTTGGACCATTCGAGGATCTTGGGCAAGCCCATAGATCAACGAGAGGCCCATCGGGTATCCAAAGCAGTGTCGAGGAACGTAGGGGTCCTCAAGGGCTTAGACGGCAAATTGTCGTCAGTTAAAATAAGAACCTTGGCCCAACAAATAAAGTCTAAAATTAATAATGTAGATAAAGCAACACCGCTTGCGTCCGGCTCGGTTATGCTGGAATTCGTATCCAGAGAAGCCTATGTTAAGGCCCTAAACATAGGCCCAATTGATATTGCCGGGATTCGAGCCAAGGTTGCGTCTCTCCCAGGGGAACAGTTATTCGAAGTAGTCATTCATGGTGTACCTCTGGGAGAGGACCTGTCCGTGTTTCAATCCAACCTGGAGTTTGACAGGTCTGGAGGG